AGGAGCGGAGGCCCCCACTGGCCTTGACCAGCCACTCAGAAACCCAGAATCCCCAAGTGGTGGATGCTCAGAGCTTGGAACCATAGCCCAAAACATCCTAGAAACTTTCAACTCAGGCTCCTTGGAAAATCACTGCTATCATTTGTTTAACTACATGTATTGAGTGCCAGGTCCTGGTTAAGTCCTCTAAATGATAACTAGTTGAGGGCCTACTGTGTGCTGTATACTGGCCACAACTCCAAGAAGCTGGTTTATCATGACTCCCAGTGCCCCACGGAGAACCTGAAGGTCAGGCCTGTTAGGCTACTTCGCCCTGGACACACAACGGACTGAACTGAAAGACCTCTGGACCCCCAACCTTGCAGCAGCCGGAACATGGGGACCTCAGAGCCCTGAAGGGCAGGCTTGAGGTGTGACTGGAGGGGCAGGCTCACTAGAGAAAGCTGGGTGTCAGCTGGGGGGGGTGGGGGGGTCAGCAGGGTTCCTGGCCAGAGTGGGCCTCTCCAAGCCACAAACTCTCCCAGTCCTGTCCACATCCAACCAAACCCCAAACCCAGGGTGGGGCTCACATATCTGGAACCAAACTCAAAGACCCCCTTCCCAGCAGCCCCCGGTCAGCGTCCGCGTCCACAGGACCTATGCCTGACGGGAGGCAAGGCCAGAGACACTTCCTCTGGCCCACAGCCACTCCCAGCTGGGCTGCAGCTGTTGGTGGGGAAAGTCCAGGTCCCAGGCTTCTGCCCGACAGTGACCCCTGCCTGGGGCTGACCAGGTCACGCAGGATGTTTCTGTCCAGTGAGGTGACCCTGAGCAGGAGGTAACTCCCAGCCACCCGTCAGCCTGTCTGCTGGACCCACTCCCAGCATGCTTCTCTCTGTGCCCCAGCCCTGTCCGCCCAGAGGCTTCAGGGCTCAGGGGCAGAACATCTTACAGCCTCTACCTCCTGCCTCCGAGGGGGGCCCTGCAGCTCAGAGAGGCAGGCACTCTCCCGAGGAGAGACAGCAAGGTGCTGCCTGTGGAAGGCGCCGCACCACAGCAGGGGGAGCGGGAGGCTGGGGCAGCGCTGGATGACAGGGCACCGGAGGGCATGCTCACGCCTTGCAGGCCATGCTGGCATAGGAATTTTGTCTTGGGGGCACTGGGAGCCATGGGTGGTTTGGGAACTGGGGAATTATGTGCCTGGAGCTGGGAGCTGGGCTGAGGCAGTCTCAAGTGTTTTCTGGAAGGGGCTGTGTTTAGAGGCACCAGGGAGAGAAGTGGGCACAAGCTATGGTGGGTGAGGTGCCAGATGGCAGTGAGGCCCCCACTGTCCTCAGCACCAGGGCTGGCCTGAGTCCAGAACAGTCAGCCACACATGGGCTGGGCCTGGGCGGCAAGGCTCCCTGTTGGTTTAGGCACCTTGGGAGGGACCCCAGGGCCGAGAGAGCTCCAGAGGGCACTGCCGGGAGGGGTGGAGGGAATGGGCCAGAAAGGCACACTAGCTTGTCCGGCCAGGGTGTGAACACAGAGGCACGTGGAGCAGACGTGAGCCACCGAAGGCTTTGGGCAAAGCAGAGCCTCCGGGACCCTCAGCCAGCGCCGCCCTGGTGGCTGAGGCCTGACTAGCACTCATCGCCAATTGCTCGGCCGCAGCCTGTGAGGATCTGATCAATCAACTGGTCCAAACGCGTGTAGCGGCACTCAAGTCCCTCTGCCCACGGCCGCTGGGCACCCCAGAGCACAGAGCACAAGCAGAGGCCGGGGAGAAGGCGCTCATGGGACTGTCGCCAGGGCAGAGCTGACCCACAGCACACAGGCCTCTGCAGCTGGGCCAAGACCAGTCACATGACAGAGGGCTTGGCCGGCAGGGCGGGGCTCGAGGCCCGAGGCTGGTGCCAGACCTGTCTCATGACTCCAAGGCCACTCTGGGCTGGGAGAGGGAGGTGGCCTTGCGGCCTCTGACACCTCCCTGACCCAGGCCCCAGCACAACCCCACACGGAGCAGCCTCTTGGGTTTCCTGCTCTATTGCCCACTCTCCCCACCCCTAACCCCACTCTTAGGAGCCCATGGCCTGGGTCTGAATCCCGGCTCTGCCATGTTCTGGCTGTGCCTCAAGGCACTCATCTACAGGAAGATCCGAAGTCTATCCACGGGGGGTTGTCGGGAGGACTCGACCGTCAGCACAGTGCCTGGCACACAGTAGGGGCTCAGCTAACTCCCTATTGTGTTATGCCCCTCCACCCCAGCCACCAGAGAAAGCTTATGACAAGTAACCCAAGCCCTGCTCCAACCACCTGCCAACACTTTCCCTGCGTTCTCAGCCTGGTCCCCTCCACGTCCTGGCACCCGAGGCCTGCGTCCTGGCACTGCCTGACCCACTTCTCAACCTTGTTCCTGGCAGGGGACCTGGAGACCCTGCCCTTCACACCGTCAAGTCACCTCTCTCTAGACCAGCGGTTCTCAACCTGTGGGTCGTGACCCCTTTGGCGGTCAAACGACCCTTTCACAGGGGTCGCCTAAGACCATCCTGCATATCAGATATTTACATGATGATTCATAACAGTAGCAGCATTACAGTTATGAAGTAGCAACGAAAATAATTTTATGGTTGGGTCACAACATGAGGAACTGTATTAAAGGGCCAGAAGGTTGAGAACCACTGCTTTAGACCTTATCAAACCTGCCCAGCTCTGAGCTCAGGGTCAGCAGCCGCCTCAGACCAGCAGCTGCTCCCCCGGAGCCCCCGCCTGTCTATGGAACGAAGTGAGGAAACCTCCAGGCCAGTGTGGCCGGGAGTGCCCGCTGCAGCGTGGCTCATGAGAACGGAACAAGCTAGATGTCCCTCCGTGGGGACAGAGGAATAAGCCGGGGACCCCGACTGCTGTCTGACTGTTGGCATGAAACAAAGCAGGTGACATCGGGCCGTTCCGATTTAAAAGTCCCGGTGAGTGGCTGCCCGGGGCTGGCAGCCTGGAGCTGTCTGTAGGCAGCGTGACCTCGCGGGGAGATGAAAATGTTCTTCAACCAACTGGGGATGCTCCCCCAACTCGGCGAATTTACTGAAACTCACTGAATTGTACACCAAAAATGGGTA